AAATGGAAAGCCACAGTGCAAGAAGGCTGTTTAGTGCCCTGGCAGGGAAGCAGGGAATCCAGACAGAGGTTGTAATGTTGCAGAGCCTCAGATGTGGGCAGCCTGCTGGGCCAGCCCCACCCCAGCTCAGTCAGGCGAACATCCTGGACTGTGCTGGGCCTCTGTCCCCAGACAGGGTGCTGTCAGCATTCATTTCTATTTCTCTGGCTGACCTTTCTCTTCTCTAATCCTGTGCATTTGGTCTATCATATGTCGGTGTCATCAGTCTGGCCTTGCTAGCTTCTGTCTTTTTTTTGGTACTGAGAGTTCAACTCAGGACCTCCTGCTTGTCAGGCAGGCACTGTGCTGCTAAGCTATATTCCCGACCCTGCTGGCTTCTGTCTTGTGGAAGATCTCTTTCTGCATCCTTTGGGGCAGGCATTTCCATGCTTTTATTTTCAGGGACGTTCTCACTGTGGCTTCCTATTACTGTTTCTAATAACAGACCTACCTCTTGGGGTTGTTTTATGGGGTGCATACCATGCTTAGTGCTCTCTTTGAGTTCTTTTCCTGAATCTCTGTTACCACCCTGAGAGGGAGGGAGGAGTATCTTGGCTTTAGACAGGTAACTGAGGCTCAGAGAAATGAAGTCATTTGCCCAAGGTTGCAGAGCAAGGAGGTGTTGGAGCTGGGCTTTGGGTCTCCCTGTGCCTGACTCCAAAGCCTAAACCTGTGCTTTTAACCACTGCTGCAGGACACCCTGCCCTGCTGGGCTGTTCAGAGTCCATGATCGGCCCTGGCCTGGCTCTAACTGTAACTGCTCAGTGATGGGAGTCCTATCCTGTAGTAGTCAGGGGTACTTCTGACTTTTGCAAAGCTACCTATACCACTCGAATTCCTTCACTTCTCCCTACATCCAACCTGTCCCTCCTGCCAGGCTGTCTTGAGCTCCTCTTTACAGCTGTTTTGAGGAATCAGAATGTCAATGTCTCCTCTTTATTGCCTGCACGATGTCCTTGATCCCATCTCTGGATGTCCGCACACGTGGCGACTCAGCTCAAATGCCCTCTCTTCCACCACCTGTCTAAAAGTTTCTAACCCCACCTCCACCCCCAACCTTAGAAGAACCCTTTGGGAACTGCAAGATCACCAGGTCCCAGACTCTTCTCAGAGGCTGAAATGTACATTGGCAAATCTAAATCACCCCAGCTATCCTCTGGGACAGCATCATCTTCCTGTAGCAGTCGCCTCCACATGAAGTGTGCCTGCCCTGAAGGTTCCCTATGGTACCCTGCCCAGGTACCCAGCAGGCTCCATCCGTCTTTCTGACCTGGGCCTGTGCAGAACTGTGCCCATGTGGCTGGCTCTGTTGACCAAGGGTAGGTTTGTGGCTCCCTTTCTGTGGCCTGGTGAGAAATCCATCCTCTTATCCTTGGAGTCGTCAAAGAAAGATTTCGTCATAGGTTTCAAAAATAATAATGGTATTTTCCTTTTAATTTAATTTCCTTTTAAATTTTCTTAAAAGTTTAAACAGATTTTGTTTATTCCCTTTAATCCTGTCCTACCAAGCCATGTGCATCAGAATAAATTTATTTAACCTCTAATTGTTAAATAATTATTTGAAGAGCTGGATGTGATCATACCTGTACTTTCAGTTATTTGGGAAGCTGAAGCAGAAGGAACTCTTGAGCCCAGGAGTTTAAGACCAAGAAAAGAAGATCTCATTTCTAAAATAAATAAGTTTATTAAAAAATCATTCAGGGCCAGGATTTAGCTTAGTGGTTCCACCACCTGCCTTGCAAGTGCAAGGTCCTGGGTGATCCCCGATACCTCTCCAAAAAAACAAAATCATTCAAGGAATCTCCAAGTATAGTAGGAAAACCAAGAACTAGTTAAATAGCAAGAAGAAAAAAATAACTGTCCATGCTTCTGCTACCCAGAAATAACCATAGCTAATGTTCTGCTAAATTTTCTGTATAGATGTTCCTTGACTTACCTTGAGATAATAGTCAGATAACCTTATCAATTTTTAGTTGAAAATATCATAAGTAAAAATGCATTTAATATACTTAACCTACACAGTATCATAACTTAGCTAACATACCTTAAATGTGATCAGATCACTTAAATCAGACTTACAGTCAGGCTAAACATCCAACCCAAAGCCTGTTTTAACAGTGCCGAGTATCTTGTATAATTTATTTAATATTGTACTGAAATTGAAAAATAGAATGGTTGTATGGCTACAATTTCACACCATCATTAGGTTGAAAAATCATAAGCAGGACTGTCATAAAATGGGGACCATCTGGATCTATGTATGTGTATTAATTAAAATAGTATCAATCTGTACAAACTGTTGTGTCCCATGCTTTTTCACTCAGATGTTTTCCATAATTTTCTGCATCTCCTTTTCTTTTACTGAAGGGAAGAGCCATTGGTGGCCCCTTTACCTCCTTGGAGTCTAGTCTGAAAGCAGAGAAACCCTGTCTGACGAAATGACTGTCACTTGAGTCTGGTGATCTCTGAGTCTAACATGTAAAAAGAGAGTGGATTTAATTATCTTAAAAGATAGCCAGCTTTTCTTATCTGTGGTACTGGCTGCCAGCACACTCTGCTGGAGACCAAGGCAGGGAAGACTGGGACCTTTATTTAAGACTGCTTTCCTGGCTGTTCCCAAGAAGACTCAGGACTGGGGGAAATTTGGAGAGTGCAGGCTGAAGGCCATCAGAGGGTCAGAATGAATGTGCCCTGGCACTGTCTGGCTATAAGGGTCATGGGGATTCTGCTTCTCACAGCAAGAAGCGTACTGTTTAGTCTGCAGATTCTGTTTTTTAAAGCAAAATTAAGTAGGCATTTATTTTGAGGCTTCTTACATATAGCTCTTATCTAATACAATGGCCAGTATTCTTGAGTGCAGGCCTAGGAAATATCCAAGCCCAGCAGACAGGTCTCAGTTTGATCTTTCCTAGGCTGTGGGCTTCCCCAGAGCAGCTCTTATCACTTTGTATGCTAGCCCAGGTGTCATGTGAGTGGTGAGAACCTTTGTGTAGCTACGACATGGAGTTGTACCCCTAAGGCCCAGGATAATGGCTTGAGGCGAAAGCTTCTGTGGGTGGGGATGAGTTGATATAACCAACACCTTGCCTTTCTGCTCATCTTGACAGTGGCTTCAGTTATAACACATCCTTGCTTGTGAGCTCCCACTTGTGAGCCTTCCACTTGTGACCTGCTGTATAGGGGTTCAGGATGCCTATGATCTCTTCAGAGCCCTGGAGCTCTCCTGTGGCTGAGTGGGCTACTCAGAGGACCAGGCAAATGCCCACAGGAATGCAGAGAGAAAAACTAAATAATAAAAATGATGTGCTGCAGGTATAGCTCAATAGTAGGGCACTTACCCATTGTGTTCAGGGCCTTGGATTTGATCCTCACAACCCCAAGGAGTAGGGAAAAGGCAGTGTGGGAAGGGAGCCTGAAGCATGTAGCTAGCCCAGAGGAGCCTGTGTCTGTCTGTCTGTCTATCTGTCTGCCATCAGAGGTCTTCTGTGGTAGATGGGATCAGGGAAGGGCCTGCCAGGTCTAGTTTGAATCTTTTTTATGTGCAGCAGTTTGATAGATTTAGAGGAAAGGAGGAGTGAGAATTCTTACCCTTTTCTTTGTTTCCTGGTTTTAGCTCCAAAGTTTTTGTTTTTGTTTTTGTTTTTTTTTTTGAGGATCCAATAATTGAAGTCAAGAAAGAGTGCTTTTACCTTTAAGACAATAAAAAGCAAAGCTTATGGGTTAATATCTGTCTTTCCATCTATGTATGCATCCGTCTAACCATCTTCAAAAAGATACAAGTCATTCCAAAGTCATTCCTTATCCTACCCAATTTCCATGACTTTCTTTCACTTTTCCTTTAACGCCTCTTTCTCTTTCTCCTTCCCTTCCCTCTCCCTCTTCTCCACTCCTCTAGGGATTTTCTATGTAGTTCAGGGTGGCCTTGAACTTATTATGTGGCCCAGGCTGGCCTCAAACTAGTGGCAATCCTCCTGCCTTCCGCCTTCCAAGTGCCAGGATTACCAGTGTGCTCCCTTCAGATCTTTACTGTGGTGTCCTTTCAGGTCTTTTACTAAATGTATAAAACACAAAGATAAATTGTTGAAGTTATTGCTTTGTCATGAAATATTTTTCTCTTTGTTTTTCTCTGCAACTGGCCAAATTCCTACAGACTGACTGGGCAGTGGGTCCTTGACTCTCTCTGGAATCTCCTGATTTAATTCTCACAAGGAAAATGTCATGAATACCTTGTCCCAGAGATGGCTCCCTTAAGTCTCTCACTTTGTAGATGAGTCCCAGAGAGGTGAAGCAATTGTGAACAGGCTTGGTCCCGAGTTCTATTCTGCCAACTTTTGCATGGACAGAGCAATGTGTTTTTCTTAAGTGCCTACCTGTTGTGGACTCATCCTGACAGCAGCCCTGTGAAGCCAGGCTCGGTGTGTGTGTGTGTGTGTGTGTGTGTGTGTACAGGAAGCAGCTTGGGGATTGTAGAGGCTTGCCTGAACTCATTGCCTAAAGGGCCTAGCATCCAGAGCTACTTTGATTGAGTTCAGCTTATCCAGCGTTTATTGAGGGGCTATTGTGTGCCAGACACTATGGCCAGAGAGACAGCAGGCTAGCATCCTGCCTAGAGCTGGTCACTCAATGACCCCTGTGTTCCCGGCAGAGTAGAGTTCCCTGGAGCGAACTCTATTATACATAGAAAGTAACCAGATTCCGGATCTGGACCCAGAGACTGGAATCCCTAAAAAACTGGCTACAGCGTGGGGGTGGGGTTATGACCTAGGCTGCCACTACTAACCCCTCACTGCTTATGACTCCCCTCTCCTTGTTTCCTCTCTCCTTCCCTCCCTCCTTCTTTCTCTCTGGCTCTTTGTCCATTTATCTCCATCTGTCTTTCTCTGCATGTGGTTCCTGCCCCCTTGGCTGTCACACTATCACCATCCCTCTCCAGTCACATGCTCTCCTTCATGCCAATGCAGGCGTGCTGGTCACCATGACAACAGAGACAGGCCCTGATTCTGAGGTGAAGAAGGCTCAGGAGGAGGCTCCCCAACAGCCTGAGGCTGCCGCAGCTGTGACTACCCCCGTGACCCCTGCAGGCCACGGCCACCCAGAGGCCAACTCCAATGAGAAGCATCCGCCCCAGCAGGACACTCGGCCTGCTGAACAGGTAGAACCTGAGATCATCCGGTATCATACACACACACACACACACACACACACACACGCCTGGCCAGGCCTCATGTACTGTTCTTAAGGCCACAGTATTTTCTCAGCAGGGAAGAAAGAAGCAAACTAAGATTTATCCATGACCTGTTACATGAGCACTTATCCTAGGGGCACTGTGGTCATTTTTCAATTTAATTCTCCCGAACCTCAGAGGGTAGGTGTTGAGTTCCCATTGTACATTTAGAGAAATCGTGGCTCAGTGGGATGGAGCAGGTTACCCAAAGTCACATTGCCACACAGTGACAGAAATGGAAGTCAAACTTAGAGCTTATCTCAAAAATGGTGTTCTTTCAACTTTATTTCCCCACCTGTGAGCTTTTCATTCTAGCTTGGCAAGCCCTGTTTGACTCTAGAGCAAAACTCATCACTCTAAAACTACAGTAGACTTGAGGAATCTTCGAGTCCTCTAATTCACACATCCCTTACTTCACACCAGGCTCAAAGAGGGCAAGGACTAGGCCACAGTCAACAAAGGATTTCAGGTAGGGCCCTGGCCCTTCCCTCTGTTAGATCTGTCTGCAGCTCCCAGCCTCATACAAAACTCAGTGGCAGATGAGGAGGAGACTAGACAGATGTCCTCCTAACTTGTGCCCTGTTCTAGGGAGACAGAGCTTTAGCCACAGGTTTGGTTTTGTGGGATACAGCTGCCTGCAGTAGATGCCCCTGCCAGTGGTATCTTGTGAGAGAGATTCTGATCCTTACTGCATTTAGAGACTCAAGCTCTCTTCCTGCACACACCAGCCATGGCCCCTGGATACTCCCTGAGTCTCAGACGGAAGTAACTCTCATTTTGGGATCAGTCTGTGCCCCAGCTGTTCCAGTTGCTCCTTGTGCTTGACATGGTGGCACACGCCTGTAATCGCAGCACTTGGGAGGCTGAGGCAGGAGGATTGCCATGAGTTCTAAGCCAGTCTACAGAATGAGTTCAAGGCCAGTCTAAACTATATAGCGAGATCCTGTCTCAGAAAAAACAAAAAAGAAGAACAACAAACAAAGACAAAAACCCCCAAACCAATTGCTTCTTGTTTGTGTGAAAGGCCGTAGTTTCAATCTCACTGACCAAACTCTTCCCTCGATTGGGCCTACAGAGCCTAGACATGGAGGAGAAAGACTACTGCGAGGCCGATGGCCTGTCAGAGAGGACCACACCCAGCAAGGCTCAGAAATCACCGCAGAAGATTGCCAAGAAGTACAAGAGTGCCATCTGCCGAGTCACTCTGCTCGATGCCTCTGAGTACGAGTGTGAGGTGGAGGTAGGAGAGCACCCAGTGCCATATGCCCCATCCCCGGTCAGCTGGCCTCAGGCTGGGCAGCTCCTGTGTGTGCTCAGCCTGAGCCACGCCAGAGGAGTCCTGGAACAATTGCAGCGTCCAGAGAGATGGCCTGGCCTGGCCCTCTTTTGTGCAGATGGTGTTGCCAAGGCCCAGAAAACTAAGATTATGATTGCAAACAGAATCAGACAAGCCACAAAGCTGGCACTAGGAAAAGGTTTCTCAGGGTGGCTGAACCTTGGCAAGGTTGCTCCTATCTAAAGACTGATCTGCAGCCCAGTGGGCCCAGAAACCGAACTCTTCTGTCTCACCCTGCAGAGACTAATGCTTAGACTCCTACCTTTTTTTTTTTTTTTTTTTTTGTCTGGTAGAGAGAGGGGTCCTCCCCTCCTTGTGAATTTGTGAATACTCCTGTCCAGGGCGCCACCTCTACTCTCCAGGACAAACTAGTCACCTGCAGATTGCACGCGAAGGCGTAGGGAGGTGGGCCGTTGGAAGGAAGCATTCATCTGTGTAGGAACCCCTGTGGTGTGGCCCTGCCCCCTAGCAGTGACACAACAGATGCTTCTTCCCCAGCCCTTCTGGCTCCGTGTTTCATGTCTTCTGACGTGTGCAGGCTCAGACTCATTATTATTAGTCTGAGTTCTCCCTCTCCCCATCCCCGGAGCCCCATGTCCTTTAGGGGTTCTACTCCTGCCCAGGCACCACGGCCAGCGTTTCTCCACGTGTGTGGAGGAGTTCAGAGGGTGGCCTCGCTGCTGAGCTCTTTAGGCACATGCCTTGGTTTCAAGGGACATGACTTACTTCTGAACCCTGGGAGGCCAGGCCTGTCTTCCTTGCATGGTTTTACAATTTCTCTATGCATTTCTTCCGAGCAAACACCTTCCTCAAAGGGCCTTCTTATGGTCCATGTCCCGAAGTGCTGCTTCAGCCGCCCCAGCAGCACATGAAGGGTTTGGGCCAGGTGAGGTCTACTCCCTTGGATGGGCTCCTCCAGGCTCAGAAATTCTTTACCATGCCTCATCCTTGTGTGTGGGGACCCAGCCGTATCCTGCAGGGCCTTCACTCACACTCTCTCTCTGGAGCCCCCTACTTCTCTGCTACCTTACGTTTCTCCTACCTTGGATCCTATTACCTGTGTTTGCCTTTACTCCTGTGGGTTGGGGATATGCTCCCTGGTCCTGGGCTCTGTCATGCTGAATCCTCAGGCCGGAATAGTGGCTCAGAGTATCCCAGGCTTTGCTGTGTGGTTAGTGGAGGAGAGTCGGGTGGTGGCTGTGACAGCAGTACTTCTGGCAGAGGCTGAAGGAGAGCCTACATACCTCTCTGCTTCCTCATTTGCTGCCCAGCTAGGGGTGGCTATCTAGATGGGGCTGCTTTTGTTTTTCACTGAGTCTTCCTGTGAGGGGAAAGGCCAGGAAAAGGAGAATGACTGTGACCCTGAGTCCCAGGCTCCCCGCTTTTTCCTGCCTATGCCTCTCATTTTTTCAAAAGATTCTCCTCTTCCTTTCCTACCCAAAGCTTAGGACTTTGGTTTTCTCTTCTGTCTCTTGATGCTGTAAAGGAAGGAGAAATCAGTTACTCTCCACACTCACAATTCTACTTACCCCCAAGCCAGCAGGTCCATGGGCTAGAGAGACCCTAGCAGGACTTGGAAGGACCTGGATGAGCTGGGCATTGTCACCTCCAGGGTCCCTTAAGACTCAGAAAGCAGAGCCAGGTGTCAGGAGGTCTCACCTGGGTGCTAGAAAGCTCTCAGGGACTTTCTTGTTATTCTGGTGGAGCCCCAGGAATCACTTATCCCATCCTAAAGTACATCCCAATCTCATGATAGCTTTGCTTTCCCCTTTAGAAGCATGGCCGGGGCCAGGTACTGTTTGATCTGGTCTGTGAGCACCTCAACCTCCTGGAGAAGGACTACTTTGGCCTGACCTTCTGTGATGCTGACAGCCAGAAGGTACCTGGTGGGGGCTGCTGTGGGAGTGGGCCTCTTCCCTTAGGCCTCCACAGTCATGTCCATATCCCAGGGTTTCCATCGGGTCTTCACTAGGCACCTAACAGCCGTATCTGCTGTTGGCCTTCTGTCTCCACCCCAACTCCAGTCCTTCCTTGGTGACTTGTAAATAACCCCAGATGGATATCTGAGAACCCCACCATGACTGCATGAGTTGCCTGAAGGAGTGGAGGTGGCCCCAAGCCAGTGCTTTTTCCCCACTCTTGGAGGCTCCTGCCTGACTGTCCCCCTTCCCACTGTGGCTCAATATCTGGTTATTGTGGCTGCCCATGGCCAATTTCAGACCATAGCTTTGGATCCCAACTCTGGTGGGAAATCCAGCCTTGTCCCCCTCACCTCCCAATCCCAAGGAAAAGGGTCCCAGAAGCTTAGCCGGGGCAGTGCATTCCCCACTAGAAGCTGCCAGTTGACTATTTCTCTCTCCCAACCCCATCTGGGCCTCTCCTCCATCTTTCCTCTGAAGAACTCTGTCTTCTCTTTCAGAATTGGCTGGACCCCTCCAAGGAAATCAAGAAGCAGATCCGGAGTGAGTGGCTGGCTGTGGATGGGGTGCAGTGGAAGGATGGGTGGGATGCCGGCTGTGCTGCTCACTCTGACTCTGGAAAGTGCATCTCGACCCAAAAGCTCCTTTTCTCTCCATAGCAGGTCTTGGGAAAGCAGGATATTGTTGACCATTGTTTTATGGATGACAAGTTTGAGGACTTTGGTTGAGAAGAGAAATAGCTGGGCAGTCACACAACAAGTTAACAGGGGACTCATAAATGCATTCAGATGTCACCTGCAGTCTTCCAGGACAAGGAGACAGATGGCCTGGGAAACAGCCACCCTGCTGTCTAGAGCTAGTGCAGACTTCAGGGCCCATTCCTCATAGGCCCAAAGAGAGGCAGTTACTCACACATGGTCACAGAACCGAATATTGGCTGAGCTAGTCTTTAGCCCTGACCTTCCAACCTCTGTTCAGGACATGAGGAGAAGCAGACATGCAGTCCTACAAGCTGTGCTTCTGTCCTAGAGAGAAAGGGCATGCTGGGAGAAGTGGGGCAGCTTTCAAATGGCTGAAGTGGGCGCGCGGTGTGTGTGTGTGTGTGTGTGTGTGTGTGTGTGTGTGTGTGTGTGTGTCTCGGGGGTGAGTGGCTTCAGCAAGGTGCCTGTAGTAGGTGGAAACCTGGGGCCTGGAGGCAGAGATGCCTCCACCCAGAGCCCCTCCCCTTGGCTCCCTGGTCCCCTGGCTGGAAAGCTGTAGCCAAGCCTGTTGCCATGACAGCAGGCAGCTGGGCCCAGAGATGCCAGCTGACTCTGCAGGAAGGGGCTTGAGGAATTCTTCCTGTAGTTTCCTGTCAGGTGGAGACAAAGAGCAGCCACATAGGCCGAGCACTCTCCTCTTGGGGACACAGGTCCTAGGGCTGGACTCAGGCTGACCTCTAGCAGCTCCAGAGAAGGAATCACAGCATATGCAGGGGGCCAAGTGTTCAACATTAAATACTAAGAGCTTGGAAAAGAGAAGCAGCCAGGATGAATGGTCAAACTTGAGCATCTGTCCCCAGAGCATGTACACGGCTGCTGCCAGCACAGACCAGTCTTGTGGACAGTTGCTCCTTGTGACACCTTAAGCTACAAGTGTCCCCTCCAGTAGAGCTCCGGCCTCTGTCCCTCCCCCTGTAACTCCCCACCATTCATCCTAGCCCTGCTCTTTGGGCACAGAGAAGCAAGTTTCTTCTCTTTTCTGTGGCTGTGGCAGCCCTCAGCCTTCCTAAGGCAGCCGCATGTGCACTGAGTCCTGGGCTTCAGAGTTGGGTATATCTCCTCTGAGCCTCCCATCACCCAGGACACCTGGGAAAGTCCTCTGGGCTCTGTTTTTCCCTGGCGAGTGAACTGGTAATTCTTGTCTCATGAGGTGGGAGTAACATTAAATGATAAAAGCATGGCCAGCACCCAACATAGAGCACCCAGTTCAGGGGCTGTGTTCTTCCAGCTCCCCTGAGGCAGTCTGGACAGACACAGAGGCCAGACTGCCTAGATTTGAGTCCACGTTACTTCTTGTTTTTTGTCTTTTTGGTACTGAAGATCGAACTCAGGACCTCGAGCTTGCCAGGCAGGTACTGTGCCGCTGAGCTAAATCCCTGGCCCTACTTCTTGTGCTGTTTAACTGTTTTGTGCCTCAGTTTCCTCACCTGTAAAATAGTATAATGACAATGCTTAACTTTAGGATTGTGGTGAGGATTAAGTGAGTTACCATCTGCGTGACATTTACAACTTTGCCTTGTCACAGTATACCCTTGCACTAGCTATTATTATTGTTGTTGTTATTATTATTATTATTATTATTATTATTATTACTTGTTATCACTGTTATCATCCCTGAGGCAAGGATTGTGTCCCCTTGAGGTTCTTTTTTTCCAGAGAGTTCTTATGGTCAGGAGACCACAGTTTAGACACCTGTTCTCTGCCACCAACTAGCTGAGTGACCCCTGGAGAGTGACCTAACCTCTCAGAATCTTCATCTAACTCATCAGGATGCTTATGAAGATTAACGTTCTGTAACATGCCTAAAGCTGGCCATCTTATTGCCTCAGCCTGCCTCAGTGTCCTCATCTGCAAGGTGGGGCTAATCACAGGACTTACGGGGTGATAGTGAATTCAGTGAAGCGATGTTTGTGAAGTAATTCACAGTGTACATACCTGGCATGCAATGTTTTTCCTTCTACTTTCCTCCCCTCTGCTAGCTCACAAGTCTCCTAACCTGAACGTCACTTTCTGCACCTGTCAAGTGGTAAAAATGTTCCAGGCTTCCTGGCTAGATTTTTCCATAGATCTGAAATAGAAGGAGATTTTGAAAAGTTGCCTACAGGCTGGTGCATTTGGGCCACCCACGGGGATGGTTGGGCTTCTCTGACCTCCCCTGGTCTTCTCTGACCTTCCCCGGTCTTCTCCTCTCAGGCAGTCCCTGGAATTTTGCCTTCACTGTCAAGTTCTACCCCCCTGACCCGGCCCAGCTGACAGAAGATATCACAAGGTGAGGGCTGTGGAGGGAGGGCTGAGCACGCTGGCTCTATGGTCTGTGGATGTGGTTACCTGTATGCTGTATATGCAGAGCTCTGGTGAGGCCAGGACACTGGCAAAGAAAGCAGACGGTGTGAGAGAAATGAGCACAAATGTGGTCGACAGAAGCTGACCCTTGACGTCAGAGAAGGAGGTGTCATGGGGCCGTGGGCCCGTCATGAATTGAAAAAGACAGGCCACCTAAAATGGTTGCTGTTCAGCTATAAGTAGTCGCTGCCCAGTGGGGAGAGGGCTTTATTGTTAAGGTGAAACTAGAGATTTGACAGTGAAAACCGCAAATTTTAAATGTTAAAAACAATGTAAACTTCAAAAAACAGCGTGGGCCATCCTCATGTTGAGACAAACCCAACACATAAAGGCTTGGTGGACCAGTGGTGTTCAGTGTTAGAGATAAGAAGGAACTGTCAGTTCTTCGCCTGTGCGAGTTTGACCCAGTGTCTAGGTGTATATGGGGTGTATGGAGGTCAAAAGAACCATGTGGTCTCTATGGCAGCAAGCGTGGGCGGGCTGCTGGGGTGAACAGGGATTACAAGTGCAGTCCTGTACTTCAGAACCAGTAGGTAGGGAGTACGAAACACCACGAGGGTGGGAATGTACATGGGTTCATCCTGCATCTGGAAACCAGGAAGCAGGTAGAGGCCTTTCTTTCTATCTAAGCCTCTTTCAAACAGATGGTCTCACTTCAGGTTATCCTGGGGCTGTGCCATCCATGCAGTGGGCCCTATACCCCAACATAAAACACGGCCTTGGAGTTCTGCAGTGGGAAGGTGATAAACCACTCCCATCTTTCCATCAGTCTCTTAATGCCTGCCTACTCTTTGCTAAGCAACAGACCAAGGTCAAGATGCTGACTCTGGCCTTGAGAGATAAGACAGGTGTTCCTGGAATAGATCAGGCCCCAGGACTTGGCCTCATTAGCCCTACTTTGAGCCCTGAGGTCAGCTCCAGGCCAATGTGACAGCAGCCAGATCTGAGCTTCAGGCCAATTCAGTCCCCATCCCTGTGGTCTTGCCCACCAGTGCCTCTCCTTTTTGTGCCAGACTCTGGGCATTGGGCTTGCGGGGACACCAGGAAGAAAGTTAGCTGTGCCCAGCACAGATGGCCCCAGGACATGGGGTGGTAAGAGCAGCTGATTTAGTCATAAATAGTTAGGCCAAAAATAAACTGGTCAAAATGACAAATTGATTGAAATGAAGGATTGGTCAGAGCATTTGGCAAAGATTTCTGAATCTTCAGACTTTTGAACAAAATGCCACAGGCCTATACTGGATGCTTATGATATTTGAGCTACAGCTGATTCTAATCTTGTGGCTTGGCCCTGAGCACACACTGAGACTGCATATACTTTTGCTAGGATTTCAGTTCTTTTTAAAAATGTTTACTTTTATTAGTACACATTTGCAGTACCTAATGATTACATTCATTGTGGGGAACTGGTATATCTACATAACACATCTTAATTCTTTTTATGTCCCTTCTCCTTCTCTCCTTTTCCCCCTCCCTCTGTCACTAGGGTTTCAGTTCTGACTGTGAAATAATGTCATAGAGCTCTAAAAATTGTATTGAGAAAAGCCACTTAAAAGGAAGAGATTATAGGCAGTTGAAAAAATGGTGAAATATGGCAAAAATGGGCAGGGAAGCATTGCTGGCTGATAACGAACCAAATCATTTTTTAAAATATATATACAGTAATCAGAAAAGCTATACCAAAATGGTTTTAAATGGTTCTAAAAATTGTAAAATCATCCAAGTGTGCATGCGAGTTATAAAACATCATGGACTGGTGGTTGGAAATGTTTCTTTAAACCGATTTGTTATTGTTGTTTTTAGATAATTCACTTACAGCTGGAGGCAAAATAAAAAGTTTTGGGCAAGCATTGGCAGGCAGGTCCATTTGGGATGTGGAGTAAGGTACAGAAGTTAAAATGGATGAGGTAGAGTGGTGTTTACTGACATGGGAAGGGCTCTAAGGTGCATCCCTGGGCCTGACGAATAGAGCTGTAGAATCAGATGTAGCCTTCGGTATCATTTATGTGTTAAACACACTCATCATCACGACCACATGCATTTTTGTGTCTCCACGAAGGGGAAATGTCTGGAATACCGCATGGATAACTGGCGACCTTAGATTCAGAATGAGAATGAGCATAAGATGAAATTTAGAATCACCTCTAAAGTTTGCATTTTCCCCTATATAAGAATATATTAGTTATATAATTAAAACTACATGATATTAATTTTAAAGGGCAAAGCCAGCAGAGTAGTTCTAGTGAGCTCGAAAATGAATTAGAAATTACAAATTCAGAAATGAACAAAATGCTGAAAGTCATTTGAAATGTCTCAAAGCCATCTCATGGGATACAACCAAATTATCAACCCATGAAATGCCAGTATCTAAGGGTATCCATTTTTGCTGAGCTGTGTTCATCTCTTTGGTTCTGATGGCCCCACTGGACCTGGGGCCTGAGCCCACTCCCTCTCTGTCCTTTCTCCAGGTACTACCTGTGTTTGCAGCTGCGAGCAGATATCATCACGGGCCGGCTGCCCTGCTCCTTCGTCACGCATGCCCTGCTGGGCTCCTATGCCGTGCAGGCTGAGCTTGGTGACTATGATGCCGAGGAGCATGTAGGCAACTATGTCAGTGAGCTCCGCTTTGCCCCAAACCAGACCCGGGAGCTGGAAGAGAGAATCATGGAGCTGCACAAGACATACAGGTGAGAGGGCCTGGTAGCCTCCTTGCAGCCCTGCACATCATAGGCCCCTGGTTGCTGTGGTATCCATACGCCTCCTGGCGCTGCCCTGAATGAGGGTTTGTCTGAGAGTAAATGCTCTTCAGATAGGAATGACAGTGACTAGCTGCATGACCTCAAACGCTCTCTCCAGGCTTCAGTTTCTTAAACTTCTTTTGAGTGTAGGCGAACCTTTTAGAGACAAGTGTCCACACTGAAACTCCAAACCCATTTATTTATCACAAAGTGCCAACACAACAATTAAACCTGAATACTGAGGTTTTAGTTTAGAAAAAACAATATTCCCAACACATTCACACATTCCCATCTTTTATCTTAAAAGAAAAACAAATAACACATGTGCCTTGGGTTTGCCACCATTGAATAGGTGTTAAAATTCCCTAACTGTGGGCTCTGGGAATCAGTTTCTTTACCTACCCCCTTGAGTTGATAATAGCTGTTATAGAATTATTATTATAGGGATAGTAATAATAACTACTCCATGTCTGTAGCTAAATATCCTGATGTCTACATCTTGGAGTAAAGTTCAGAAGTTTGGACTCAAATGCCAGCCTGCTTGAGTTTGCCATCTGGCTCTGTCACTTTCTAACTGGGGGAACTTGGCACATTGTTTCATTTCCCTGTGCTTTGGTGTGCTCATCTGTTCAGTGTGGTGCTAGTAAACCCACCCGGTTGGGTTGTTGGGAGGACCATATGGCACATATTAAAGACACACACATGTTGGCTCTTAGGGTTGCTGTCTGAACTGAGAGGTTGAGTAGTTGACAAATTGTGGAAAGCACTTTGTTCCAGGAGTTAGAAGATAATGAACTGGATGTGTGATTGTAGGTTGTTTATTTAACTTCTGGAAGCCTCATCGTTCACCTGTAAATGCTTGGTCTTAGATGATCAGTGTTTCTCAACTACTGGTATTTGGGGCAGGAGAATTCATTGCACATGACATTTAGCATCCCTGAGTCCCAGGCATTAAATATCCATAAACATCCCTCTGTTATTGTAACAATTAAAATCGTCCCATTCCCTGTACTGCTATTTCCAAATGACTGATCTGCTAGGGATACTACTCCTGAGGGGTTAAACCCGGATCACAATGAACTCCGTGGTCATTTTAAGCTGAAAGTGCTTAACCTCCAAGTTCAAGATTGTTATGGGAACCCAGTGTGATAACTGATGTGCAAGTGCATTATAAATGGCAAAGTGCTGTACCTGAAGGAATGGCTATGGTGATACTATCTCATTGCCATGGAGGTATGTGCTGTGGGCTGCGCCTGGAGAGGAGGGCTAGGGCCAGATGTGGAGAGGTCCTGTATTTGTGGAGAGGAGCCCACCAGAGTTATCTTTGTTAGACTCACACACCCACTCTGCTTGATTAGTACTGACTGCTGTGGTATTGTGATGAGTTGGATGTAATTGTTCAGTTGTAGCCATGTGGGCATAAGAATAGGGCAGCCTGCCTGTCATCTGTGTCCTAGATAGCAAGATTCCTTGGGGATTTGCAAGATCCATAACTCAGAGAGAGACATTCAGATCAATGTGGGCTGAAGAAATGCTAGTGGTTGTCTTTACAGCTCTTTGGACTTAAAACACGTTGACATCTAGAGTTTTACACAAGTTTCCCACACACCAGCTCAGAGGCAGACAGAGGCCAGGGAAGTGAGGCCCAGAGAATATAAGAGACAGATGTAATGAAGTACTTAAAAGCATAGACTTGGGAGCTACATTATCTGTGGTCAAATCCTGACTTTTTCTTAATAGAAGTGCGCCCTTGAGCAAATTATTCAACCTCTCTGTGCCAGCTTCCTCATCTGTAAGATATGAATAACCTGATACCTACCTTATAAAGTTGTGATAAGGATTCAGTGAGTATTTGTGAAGTGCCTGCAGCAGCAGCTAACACATATGGTAGTACTAAGTGTGAAATGTCTGAGTTTCCAGAAAGAACCTTGATCGATTACATAACTCTTCTTTTCAGAAAGGAAACTGTGCACCTGCTCCTCAAGGTAGATTAAATGGCTTCTGATACTAAATTCGGAGAGAAATGTCTTATGTGGGTAATAATTTAGGAGCCGCTGGGTGATTATAATGAATGATGTCTTCAGCAGTGGTTTCACAGTTATGGAGGAGCAGGATTTGTAGCTCACACTCAACTCAGTGGCAAATGAGGCAAAAATCCTGACTCCAATCCAACCCTTCCCAAGAAGGAAGTACAGTGCACGCTGAAGTTATGACCAGCCTGACATATGAAAAACTTAGGTTACAACCAGAACTTTAGTTTTAACTTACAATCAAAATCTTGAGTTACAACCCGAATGCCAGCTGCTTGTGCTTCCAGATGGTCTCAGATACAGATTTAACCCTTAAAGAGTTCTGGAAGGGACATTACAACATCCTTTCCTATGTGGGGTTGAGAAATTCTGAGCCAGTGTCTCTCTAAGGACACTGAGATCTGCCTGGAAGAAAGTGTGGCCTAAAATCATACAGGAGAGAGACTCTGAAGGCTGTGCAGAGGAGCCTGAGCCTGCAGTTGATCAACTTAAGTTACAACCAGCCCTTGCAAATGAATTGAGTTCATAAGCCAAGGATCTACTGTAGATCTGACTCTACAAAAATGGGATTGGGTAGACTGAATTCAGTGGGGGGCTGCTTCACCATACTGCCCTGAAGACAGAAAGGAGGGACTGAGATGAGTCTCAGCCACCCTCCTTCCTAGAAGCAGAGGTTCTGTAAGATGTGAATAACCTGATACCTACCTTATAGAGTTGTGATAAGGATTCAGTGAGTATTTGTGAAGTGCCTGCAACAGTAGCTAGCACATACGGTAGTACTAAGCCACCTTCAGTCAGCAGGCCCTGGCCCTGGTGATCACTTTCTTTCCCTCAGGGGCATGACCCCAGGTGAAGCAGAGATCCACTTCCTTGAGAATGCCAAGAAGCTCTCCATGTATGGAGTCGATCTGCACCATGCCAAGGTACCACCGAGCCCCAGACCCCCCTGGCACACAGTGGTGCCCCTGATGCACTATCAGGCTCCTGCAGAGGCTTGGTGTGCCAGACCTTGTGTTGTCTCCAATGTGGAACTTTTCTATTCTCATTTCTGGTTCCCCAAAGTTCATCACCTTTTATTGCTTATGATTTTTATCATTTGCTCCTTGTTGTTTCCTTAAGAACTTGTTTCTGTCACCATTCAATTGAGATCAAATGAATGAAAGACATAGACCTTAATTTATTGCTGTATCCCTAGCACATATCCTATGGATTGGCACTGAGTGTGTACCTAAATGTTTGCTGAATGATTGATTGATTGATTTACAGAGCAAATACTAGAACAAGTGAGCAGTGAGTCAGTGACTGAATAACTGAATCAATGACTGGATGGCTGCGTGGGGTTGGTCAGGGGACTCCAGCAAGGATGCTCTCCTGATGCTCTGGAGGGCTTATTACCAGCAGAGCTCAGGGAGGGATCTGGGGTGGGTCACCAGCTACTTCGTGCATGGATGCCAGGCATCCCTTTCCGTGGTCCCTTCTCATGCAGGACTCTGAGGGCATTGACATCATGCTAGGTGTCTGTGCCAATGGCCTGCTCATCTACCGGGACCGTCTGAGAATCAATCGTTTTGCTTGGCCCAAGATTCTCAAGATCTCGTACAAGAGGAGTAACTTCTATATCAAGATCCGGCCTGGGGAGGTAAGCTTGCCTTGGGAGCCCTGTTCCTCTCTGGGGTTAATGGGTTGCGGCAGACCCTGGAAGCTGATCTGGGCTTTTCCTGCCTAGAAATGTGGATAGGATGCCAGGGTGTAGGGAAGACAGAGAGCTCCTTCCCTCTTCTGTAGCTTTCTACATAGACCTCATACCCTGGGTGTGTGTGGACAAGCACATACAGATACATGAGAACATATATAGGATAACTACATGTTCACATTAGACATTTAAGTAAATGTGTGTACAGGTGTTTGTTTTCATGTAGTGCTTCAGCATCTACATATACTAAGTGACACACAGTATGTGACTACATACACATGTAAACATGTGTCCGTACCTGTTTTCCTTTAGCCTCCACATCTCACCCATCTCAGAGCCCATTTGATTCTACCACTAGAGTAACTGTGACGCACTAGTCTCTTCTTTCCACGGCACCAGCTACCAGAAGCCTTGTCTCTCACTTGTGTCTCTATACAGTCCCTCTCACTGGCCCTCCTGCCTCTCCCCATAAGCCAGATCCTGCCAACTTCTCTCCCAACTCTGCCCACATTCTTTGCCTAAACTTTTTCGGAGCTCTCTTTAGCTCTGAGACTGGAGTCCAGCTCTGACAGCCACCTGCCTCTCTCACCTCTCTCTTGCCACACTGCTTCATGCCCCTGTGGGCTTCTCTGCAATTCTTAAGTCAAGCTCTTTCCCACTTTTGTATGTGATGGTCCCTCTACCTAAATAAAGGTCTTTTCCCCGTCTTCTCACATAGATAGCTCCTTCATGTGTTAGTCAGCTGTTACTGAAAAAAATATATAGAAATAGGGTTTCTTCGTCAGTTTTTTTTTTCTCAGTTTTGGAGTTTTAGTCCATGTCTGACTGCCCCATTGCTTTGGGTTGTGGCAAGGCAGTACATCATGGCAGGAACAGGTGGAGGAACAAACTGTTCACCTCATGGCCAGGATGTAGAAAAAGAAAGAGAAGACACCACATCCTATGACCCCCTTCAAGGCCATGTACTCATTGACCTAAAGCCTGTTACTAGGTTCTATCTTCTGCCTCCTAGCCCTCATAAACATCTGCAATTACCTTGTCTCCTTATTTATTATCTGAGACCTTCACATCTAGTATCTTCTGTCTTGGTTTCTGTAGTGTCTCTAGTATTTAGCACTGAATCTGTCACAGAAGACAGGCTTAACTCACCTTGTTGATTACATGAATGACCAAGCTAAAGTCACACATGTCTGAGAAGAGGTTTGGAAAGAATAGCCTGATTGTGCTGGCCCTGCCTCTAACCCTGCTTCTTGGTTTTCCAGTATGAGCAGTTTGAGAGCACAATTGGCTTTAAACTTCCAAACCATCGGTCAGCCAAGAGGTTGTGGAAGGTCTGCATCGAACACCACACATTCTTCCGGTGAGCTAACCCTGGGCTAGGGTGACAGGGTGAGGCAAAGGCTATGAGTGTGCAGGGGAGTAGCAAGAGGAGTTAGGAGACTCCGGGAAAGACCTCCCACTTCTCCCAGTATTCTCCTTTCTGGACCACTCTGAAGTTTCATAGTTGATGGGGCTGTGGGATAAAGGCCTTGTCGGTCTAAACTTGGGCCTGGCAACGCAAGTCTGAACTTCCCTCCTCTCCTCCATCCCTCCACTGCAGGCTAGTATCCCCTGAGCCCCCACCCAAGGGTTTCCTGGTCATGGGCTCCAAGTTCCGGTATAGTGGAAGAACCCAAGCACAGACACGCCAGGCCAGCGCTCTCATCGACCGACCCGCACCCTTCTTTGAGCGTTCCTCCAGCAAACGGTACACCATGTCCCGTAGTCTTGATGGAGGTAAGGCCCAAATAGGAGGTGGAGAAGAGTGGTATTTAGAGGGAAGATGGGTAGTGAGCATGCTAGATTCTGCAGAATGGACAGTGATAACGGTGGATATATCACAAGTTAATTTGCACCAGGCATGGCAGCCCATGAGCCCTTCTGCACCTGGGCAGCTCTGGTGAGTTCACCTCAGCCTACAACCCACTCCCACTTGGCATGTGACACTCTTGCCCTTGGGACATCCTTGTGGGGTCCTTTGTTCAGCCAGATAGTTTTCTGGGCCCGCTGCCCAAGAAGCTTGGCAGTGCACAGATTGGCATCTTACCAAGAGAATGGAGTACTGTAGTTTATGCAAAGCAAAGAAGGATCTGGACCATGCCTCCATCCCTTTCCTTCAGTTCCATTCCTAAGCCAACGACTAAATGATAACTAAATTTGGGGGGCAGCAGAAATTACCCATAAGCTAGTGAAGTTTGTCTAAGGAGGAGCAGAAGCCTGGACTCTAAGTCCGGAAGTGGAGGTTCTTGTTCTGACTCATTGTAGGGCCACAGGGCAATCTTCTCTTAAGGTCTCAATTTATCCTCTCTAAAATGGGGAGAGGGGAGGTAGCTCAGTGGTAGCACACTTGCCTAGCAGGTGCAAGGCCCTGGGTTCAATCCCTGGTACCACCACCACCACTAACATATTAATTAATTAATTAATTAATTTTTAAAATGGGGAGAGTATTTTCTATTGCCAATTATCAGCACAGAGAATTGTGTGAATCAAATGAAATAATGTGGGCATATTAGTATTGCATTTGCAAAGTGAATAAATATGGATAGAAAGGATTATTATTCTCTTTGAGATCAATTCCAAGGATGATAATCTGTGCTCTGATTATCTTAACTCAGTGTTTTTCAGCTTATTTATAAAAATCAAGACTCAAGGGCATAATGGGGTTATACCCAGTGCCTAGTGTGAAGTCTATAATTCTACCCCTTTTCTATTCAGAAGAGTGCTTTGGAGTGCCATTGAGCAAAAAAGATGTTATTGCAGGGATTTCCATGAATTCTCACTATTTTATACTGAAGGTGAATGATATATGTTTAGTCACATTCCGGATGCTGACACTTGTAACTTAAAGAAAGAGAGATTTATTTTGGCTCACATTTTTCCAGTGTGTTCAGTACATGGTCAGCTGGCTCCAAGGTAAAAACAGCATGGTGGAAGGGCTTGATGGATAAAAGGCTACTCACCTCATGTTATCCAGGAAGTAGAGAGCAAAAGGGAGGAGCTGGGGACAGGAATATAGACTTGCAGGTTATTTCCCCGGTGACCCTCCTCTTCCAACAAGGCCTACTTAGATACAAACTGCAACATTCTTCCCTCCCCCCCAGAGGCTCATATTTATGTCACTATGAAAAATGCATTTAGTCCATCTCTAAGAGTTGGCTTTGCTGCTTTTTACTCCTGATGCTCACTATAAACTTGGCTAAAAGCAGCCATCAGTCTGAACATTGGACTGCCCTGAAATATGCTCTACCAGATTAATTAGTCCACCACCTTTAAACTGAGCCTTATACAAAATCCTAGGACAGGGGGTGAAATGAAGACAAATTCTTTGCCAGAATAAAACATGCATGGCCTGTCGTTGAATTTCCATCATAGTCCTTATTTCCATCTGAAACCTCATAATGCTGGTCTTCACTGTCAGCATTCCTGTCAGCATTCTGGTCTTTTAAACTACAGCCAGGATCACCTATTAAGCTTCACTTACAGCATCCTAGGGCTTCTCTAGACAGCATGGACAAACCTTTCCAAGTTCTTCCCAAAAACCTGTTCCAAAGGCTTGTATACCACATGGTCACGTGGTATACACACACAACGCCCCCCCCACTCCTGGTACCAATTCTCTGTATTAGTCAGCTTCCTCATTATTTGGACAAAATGCTCAACACCTGAACTTAAAGGAAGAGACTTATTTTTAGTTTCCAGTGGATTCAGCCCATGGTTGGCTCCAAGGTAGAAACAGCATGGTGGAAGGACATGGCACCCAAGAAGCAGAGAGCAAAAGGAGGAGTTGGGAGCCAGAATATACCCTTACAGGTTATTCCTCCAGTGTCCTACCTGCTCCAGCCAGGCCCCAACTCTGAACATGAGACTTTTAGGGAACATTTTAGATCTAAATCATAACAATATACAATCTTTAGGAATTAGCTTTCACTAGTAAAAGATAATCTCACCATAACTGTGTGTTGCTAAGTAATGATCAAGTGCATATTCTGCTATGACCACAACTAAAGCAGCAATGTTTATGGGCCAGAGTTGATGGAAGGCCCACTCTGTGCTGGACACTCTCATAAATGTTTCTAAATGCTATTTTATTTGTTCCTCACCTCAGCTGTCTAAAGTAGGTACTGTTATGGATGAAGAAACGGAGACCCAGAGTGATTATGTCGTTTCCTCAAGGTCACACAGCCAAAAAAGTTTGGATTTGAGATGGAACCCAGATTCTAATGCTGTAGAAAATAGGAGGGTGTGGGCTGGGAGGCAGCTCTGCCACTCACCAGCCATGTGACTAGGGTGCTCAGTGGATTGGGGGTATGGAACAGTTGGCTTCACTGCAGGTGAGGTTGGGCAGCAGCTGGGCTAGCTTCCTGTCTAGGCACGAGAGATGTCTCACATGGTTACCTGGCTGTCTGTGCATACTTCAGCAGAGTTCTCCCGCCCAGCCTCAGTCAGTGAGAACCACGACACAGGGCCTGATGGTGACAAGCCAGAGGAGGATGCTGAGTCTGGAGGGCGACGTTCAGAGGCTGAGGAGGGAGAGGTCAGGACCCCCACCAAGATCAAGGAACTGAAGGTAGGTGCTTAGGTTTGTTATACCTTCTACCCTGGGAACTGAGAAGCTGACCTGAGATCTAGGCTCAGTCTTGGCCTTCACATGCCTCTGACTGGTCAAGAACCTTTGCTACACGGTGCCCCACAGACAGGGCCTTGTCCTTGGGTGGTACACAGAACCTGGACATCCAAGATGGGAGTGGGGATGAGTGTGGGCTCTTCCTTCCTTTTGCCCAGCTTTTCCAGAGGTTGCTTTTTCCGTGGAGGACTCAGGCCTCCTATGGTTCCCGCCTCCTCTCCCTTTTGTCTATGATCTGGCTGTCATCACCCACCTCCTCCCCAGACATGATCAGATGTCATGAAGGGCCTCATACAGTGAGGTGCAGGTTTATCTCCTTCCTGCTTCCATACCCTGCACCTGATGCACACACATACCCCACCCAGGATGTGCTCCTACAGGAATGTGCAGCCTCAGCTTCATGAGCACTCACTCTCAGACTTGTATATGCCCTCACCCTTAGATTGGTGCACACAGATATGCAAGCAAGCAGGTTCACACTAACAGAATGGGCTCACTTGGGCCAGGAATGGCTTACTCCCGGTAGAGCTGTAAAGCAGCTTTATTTCCACCGTGCAGTTCTGCCATGTGAGCACAGTTGCCTGAACACCACTGCAGCCGGAAGCAGGAAACCTCATACACACTCATGCTGCCTACCTACCAAGTGGGGCTCTACCCACTTTGCCTCCAGACCTCCCGCCCCTTCTTTGCCTTTCTGGGACAGTCCCCGCTTCCCACCCTGTGCCTTCTTCCAGCTAACCCACTGCCCTGTGGGTGGCCCAGCAGCTTCCCCGGCCTGGACTTCTTGGTTGGGTGAAGTTCACTGGCTACCTTGCTGCACCAGGCCGGCCGCGGTATCTCAGTCTGTTTGCTGTACTGACTCTGCTGGTTCCTTTCCCTCCTACCACATCCCGCTAGCCGGAGCAGGAAACCACGCCAAGACACAAGCAGGAGGTACTGCATGGGACCTGTCCCTCCCTACCCAGCCATTCAGATCCTCCGCTCATATTCCCGGCACCATCTCAGCTTCGCCTTCATCTCTGCCCACCCTGCCCCCTCCTCCCCACCATGCTCCTCCCCAGTTATTCTCCCCCCCATTAAGATCACCTCTCCAGCTCCCTGCTCACACTCCACCCCCAGGCAGCCATCTCTCCCTCCCTCCTGTCGCCTACCACCCTCCACCCGCCCTCACCCTCTGCCTCTCCGGAACACTTGGTACTATGCCGTGCTTGCTTCTCACTGCTGACCATCCCACCTATGTCTGCTTGCTCCTCCAGGCCATTCTGCGCCTCCATTTAGCTCATCTCCTCCCACCTCCCACTCTGACCCTTCCTTAGATTCCTCTCCCCCACAGCAGTATCTGGTCACGCCTCCATTTCATGTGTGTCCTTACTCAAAGCTTCTTTTGTATCTCTTGGCAACCAGAGGTGGGAGAGGAGGCCTGGGGCGGGAGGGAGGGGCCCTCGGCGCACCTTTACGTCTGCTCAGACTCTATTCCACTCTCTCCGGGGTGGATTGCTGCTGCCTCCATCGAAAACCTCTTTTCTGATCTCCTCCTCTTCTTCTTCCCGTTTGTTGCTTCCCTTGACTTCTTACTCCTGTGTTCACCACTTCTTTCGGTTTACCGTCTGCAGCCTTCATTGGAACTTTAAATCCAAAAGAAGGGCTTTATCCTTGGGCGGCTGAAATAAAGAGCCAAGGGCTAGCCCATAGCTAAGGTCTTTGATCCTCAGGCCCCAGGGCCCTATCCACACAGCAAAGCATTGAGATAGATTTCTCCAAGGCCCTTAACCTTCAGGGATCCTGCTGCTCCCTGCAGCCTTGGGAGCACAACATTCCCACAGAGCCAGTGGGCCAGTTAGGGATCATCTCAGGTTGGGACACACGGGGCATTCCGCCCAAACCTATCCTGTGTGCAAGCTCCCTCAGATTTGATTTCTCCAACAGCAGGCAGCTCAGCCCTGGGAAGGAGGGAGGGAGGCTGGAGGTACAGGAAGATGTCTGGAGAGAAGGCTGAAGCCTTGGTGGGGTCAGTTTCTTTCCAGAGGGAGCTTGGGATTCAATCACAATGGATCCTTAGATGTCAGAGATAAGCCCAGCAGAAGATTCTAGGTTTGTCCAAGAGCAAGCTTGCCTTCCAGGTAGCTCTCCCAGTGCCACCTTATCAGTCTTTAATAAATCGAGGTTCACCATTTTGTACCCTTACCAGGCTTACCATGAGGCCTTGCAGATAAGGTCCTTGGGCTGTCAGCCTGCCAGCTGTGTCCCAGAAGCAGGCAGATTAAACAGCTGTATCTGGCCGTGCTGGGCTCAGGCAGATTTCTCCATCGTGCTGCGCTGGCATGAGCCCAGACCTGGCAGTTTAATGGGAGCATTCCCATGACTCCAGCTGTACCTGGCTCACTTCTTGAGCCCAGCCCTGGGACTTACCCCTCTCCTACCTGGTCTCTAATCTTCCTGAACATCTTGCAACATCTTTGGCTCTATGTGGCTGTATCTCACTCCATCTGCTATTGGTGGACAAGTCAGTTTCCAGAGGAACCTGGAGGATCCTGGAGGTGGGGAAGGTTATGGCCCACAGCACAGAAGGTTGCACAGTCTCATCCTGGCCCCTGGTCCCGGGTGAAAGAGCAGCACCCATTTTTCCAGATGGTCCTGTTTGTAGGCACATCTTCACTGTAGGCTTTCCCAGAGGCTGTGCAATTGCACATGTTGGGCTCAGTGGCCTAGACTGGACATCACTAAGTACCAGGGGTCCAAGTCTTGGCCAGAGGTAGGAATCAAGGTCCAGAAGGAATCTGGAAAACCACTGAGTGTACTGCAGCAGCCCAATAAACAGGATCAGGGGGTTCTCACTCTGGTGGACCCTGTCTGCTGATGCTTTGGTTATAACCAGAGGGACATCACCTGTATACCTGACTCCTAGCACCCAAGGGAACTTCACCCAGACCCAAAGGACTTGGACTGAGTTGGGTATGATGAAGTCAGGGAGTTAGGCAGGGGAGAAGAGAAGGAGATTTGACTGGAGTTCCCTCTTTCTCATTGCAAGTGTCTGGTCAGTGTCCTATTGCAGCTTAGGTCCTTGCCCCACTTGGCTCCTAGGGCTGTTGTAAGGAAAGACAGTGTCAGAGAGGCGAATCACAATGCAACTGCTGCCACCATCCCTGCATCATGCATTGCCCACCGTGAGCCGGTCACCTAACACCACCACCCTCTTCATCCACCCCTAGTTCTTGGACAAGCCAGAGGATGTCCTGCTGAAGCATCAGGCCAGCATCAATGAGCTCAAGAGGACCCTGAAGGAGCCCAACAGCAAGCTGATCCACCGGGATCGGGACTGGGAGCGGGAACGCAGGCTCCCCTCCTCGCCTGCCTCACCCTCTCCCAAGGGCACCCCTGAGAAAGCCAGCGAGGTAGGTCTCACCCTGAAGTCCTCCTCAGGGACCTTGGGTAAAGAGGCATTGGGGCTGCTACATAGTGGCTCTCACGCATCATCCTCCATTGCTGCCTTCAGGGCTGGTAAGGCTATGGGAAACAAGTTCACTAAGTCTTGGAATTCTGGGTCCCAAAAACCACCCTGAAGCCTAGAAAACTCCGGTATTCATGGTAGTTTGGTGTACGCCCCTCCCATCAGGCAGAGTATAATGAGAAGAGGTACTCATTAGAAATGCAGATTGCAGGGCCCAGCCTCAGACCTACTGAGTCAGCTTTTTGGTGGTAGAGTGCTGGAACCAGCATTTTAAACATATGCCTTAGGTGACTGGTTCCCTTTCACACTAAACTTTGAGACCCTCCATAACCCTATCTACTAACTACATCTTTTTGTGCCTGTTATGGAAACAGTGGGGCCAAGGTCCCTCCAGAAAGTAGTCCACTAGCGAGAAGAGGATCCATATGAACAGACGTCCTCCTGAGGATTCAGAAAAGGACCCCACATGCCCCACCTTTCAGAGTAAAAAGTGTGGGGTGTTTTCTCAATTGAAAAAGAGATGAAGGTTTGAGAAATTCCTGTATTTATAATCCCGAACTCTTATTTTTTAGCACTTACTAAAGCTTAGCAATTTTTACCCCAGTTTATACATAAATGTTTTCTCTCTAGAGCGGCTGCTCCATGGTCTTCAAATCCAGTTGTGGTCTAGTCTTATGCTGCCTGGGTTTGCATTCTTGGCTCTCTTGCTGCTGCTAGTTGACTCTGGGCTTGCTACTTATGTAATCTCTCTTGCGGCCCTGTTTGGCATATGTGTTCTTGGGGATGTCGTGAGGATCAAAACATGATGTATGGAAGGAGACCAGGGTGGTTTGTTGGTGTCAAATACGAGTTATTTATGATTTCATTTTGAGAGTCCTTTATAAAAAAAAAAAAAAAGGTTAACTTTAAATCATAGTTGGAGATACTCCTAGGATTTTCTTGATTCAAGATTCTCCTTTTACAAACAGGAACACTGAGACCTAGAAAGAAGAAAACCCGTTCAGCATCTTAGCTAAGAGGAAGGACTATAAGCTACTTTTCTTATGTCCCAGATCACTGTGTTTGTCATTAAATCACAGCTGCCGTGGAGCAAGACCAGATCATGTGAAGACTGGGTATAGAGTCCATTGTATGTGTGCTGCACTGTAATGCTTTGAAAACTGATGGTGCAGCCATGATTGAATTCAGAGCATTTGACTGAATCAGTACCAGACTTGGTCTGAGCCCAGCAGATAACAAAGGGCTTTGCCTAGTGAGGTGGCAGCTCAAAGAAGCTCCTGGGATTCTCTGGCTGCTGATTCACAAAATGAGGAATTCTCTGGGGGCCTTTAAGGCTGGTGTCCTAGGGCCTCTGCTGGAAGTCCTCTACTGAGGACTTCTGTGGTTCCTGGCACAACTAAGACACTAGGCTGGGCCTCTGGCTGGTTTAGTGAACCAGTAGATAGCACTCCCTCTTCTTCCACCTCCTGTCCTAAGAAAAGAATTGGCCAGAGTGACCTCTAATCAGTCCCAAGGTGAGATAGATCTTGGCTGGGCTCAAGTGAGGGAAGATGCAGAGTCTGTGGAAAGGCTGAGACCGCAGCAGAGGAGGGAAAGATGAGCCCAGTTGAGCTGGAGCCTGGAGCCCTCGGATCTCAGAGTAGCCTGGCATTGGGGGTGTGCCCCACCTGCTGGTGATAGCTGGAACTGCTAGAAGCTGGAAAGACAAGTCTGTCCCCCCCTCCCCAACTCAGTCCCTGGAAGTATGGTCTCCACTGCTAGAAAAAAATTACAGTACAGAGCTCACCTTCGAGTGATGGACCATTTATAAATTGGTTTACAGGCTTCCTTCCCATTTAGGGGCCCTTGAAGACTTGGGAGATGGGGAGGAGCCGTAGACAAGGACTTGACTGGGTCCTTAGGTGAGTGACCTCACCTCTCTGAGCCTCATTGCCTGGTCCATCTAAAGGGGACCAAAACTGCCACTCCGTAAGAAGGCTGAAGTAATGAAATAATGAAAGCATCTTATCAACGGGAAAGTGCTAGACAGTCGGGGCCGTTGCTGAAAGTGACCAGAATCCCTGATCCAAATATGGGCTGTGGGGTGGCTTCTTCAGGGACGTATCATTCACAATTCCTGGTAGCCTCCTCAGAGCTTACTGGGACCCATCTAGGCCAAGGGGAAAACAATAGGACCCGGAACTGTTCCCATATGCCAAATCCATGTTTTAGTATTAAAGATAATTTAAAAAGCTATGTAACCCCAACTGCAGGAGTGAAGTATAATCTAAGTCACTGACACACAGGGCAGACTTAGAGTCCAAATAGTATGACTCAAAAAGATCTCAAAATGTTAGTGGGAAGGCCATGAGGGATAGGCTGGAAGCCACAGTACTACTCACAGCCCACTTGGGCTTCTGTCCCTCCCTTAAGTGGCTTGAAAGGGATGGGCCTCTATCTTGCTACACAGAGTGGCTCCTTCCTGACCAAATCCATCAATCCTAAGGATGTGGGACTTATAAAGCTGGGCTACTTATGGACTCCATGTGTATCTCTCTCTTGCTTCCTTTCCCTCTCTTCCTGTCTCTGTCTCTCCTTTACTTCCTCCCTCTGCCCTTTCCCTGTGGCCCTGGGCCTCCCCGGCATTCCCAGAGGACCCAGGACACCTTTCAGCAGGACTTGGTACCTGGAGCAGCCGCAGGCTTGGAAGTGCTCACTCAGAAAAGCCTCGCAGCATCACCTGAGGTTACTGTCTTCACTTTGCTGTGCCCCTTCCCCTCAGGGCCTCCTGCCCACCCTGATCTACACTTTTGGGTCTAAAACAAACAAACAAAAAACCTTTCTGTGGGGTGAGGGGAGTCCCTGCCTTGCAGAGGGGAGTAGGGTAGCCCATTCTGTCCCCATGCTGTAACCAGGGATCCATAAAGGGCCAGCCCCTCTCCCTCATGCGTCACTTATTTGGGGGGACAGGACTGTGACAGTCTTGGAAAGACAGAAGAGCTGATTCCCTCCAGCTTCAGAGGGATGGCAGACATCGTCTCTTGGGCTGTGGCGAGGCAGGAGACCCCAGAGGCAGGCTCTGACCTCTCAGTTTAGGATTAAGGATGCTGGCTCCTAAGTGCCTCCTTCCCTAGATCTTGTCTCTCTGTTCAGAAGCCTGGATCAGGTCTCGCAATGGCCGGTCAGGATGTGGCCTTCCATGCAGCCTCTGCCTCCAGCTCTCCAAACTCCTCTAGGCTTGGGTCTGTCAGGATATTCAGGCAGACAAAAGTGAACATCTTTCTTCTTGGACCATCCTTGGGCTTGTGCAAGTATTGGTCAGGCAAGCATTCTAAGTGAGGAGGGCATCGCTTCTTGGGCCCAGGACAGCCCCAAGTTGAGGGTTCTTGGAACTTCCTGTGGATGCAGGGTTTGAAATCCTGACTCCAGCAGCAGGGGCCACATCTTCCTTGTCCACTGGGATTTCATAGACTGTCAGGATTGGAAAGTACTGAGCTGGGGAAGCTTTGTTTGGGTTTTTTGGTTTTTTTTTTTTTTTTTATAAGGTTTCGTTATGCAGTTCTGGCTGGCCTTCACCCAGGTTGAGTTTAAGGGATTACAAGCATTCGCCACCACTTCCGGTAGCTGGGGAAGCTTTTGTCTTCTAGTCTCCGTTGGCGTAGTGTGTGGGGAAGGTCATATACCTTTTTGCTTTCACAGAAAATTTCTGTAGCTGCTACAAATATGCTGTGGCTATAAGAACGCTACTAGTCAACCACAGATATGGTGAAATATAAATCACAGCTGTCCCTGTAAAGAAAGTAAAATTACCAGCGCTCTCTCAGGAACGGTAGGATAGGAGTCAACAGCATTCCAAGGTCAAGGACGTAGTGAGGCCCTGTATCCCAGAGATGCTTCTAGAACTAAGGAGGTGCCTGTCCTGGGAGAGGAGCCTTCCTTAGCCCCCTTCCTTAGCATCCTGCCAGCTGTGTGTCAGCCCCCTCTACAGAGGGAGCTCTCCGTCCTGATGGCAGCTCACTTTGTCTTCAGTCATCGTTAGGAAGTTTTCTTTGTATTGACTGAAAATCTGCCCTTCTGCATCAGCAGCCTGTTGGCCTCCTGCCCTCTGGTGCCCATGGACCTGCTCTGCAGCTTCCCCCGGGCCACCCTCAGAGGACTGAATACCTCCTCTCCCCCTCAACATTCCCACCCCATTCAGCAGATTGTCCCGGGCTATGATTTCTAGAGGCCTTCGACCTCGACACCCGCTCTCCGTAAAGGGTGCAGCCCCAGGTATGATGCAGAGCTCCAGATGGGGCCTGAACAGGCAGTGTCAGCAGAACTGCCTGGCTGGAGTTTCTTCTTGTCTGTGTCTTGTGTGGAAACCAAACTGGCTTCCCGGCTCCTGCTCCAAGCCCAAGCAGATGGCAGGGGACTGCGTGTCCCTGCTCAGTGCCCTAACATTGTTTCATCTTGGGAATGGGGCAAGGTGTGGCTCCCAGTGCCTTGGCCCCAGAGAAGTCTCTCCCTCTTTTTTGTTCGGTCCCCCTCCTCTTTCCTTCAGCATCCTACCAACCTACTTTTACATGTTAGAGGCAGAACCCCTTCTTCTTCCACCACTCCTCACTCTGATCTTGTGCAAGTCCCCTCCTCTCTGAGTGCCTCAGTTTCTCCCTCAGAAATGAAGACGACAATGTCTGCATTGTGGGTTAATTTAATATAATAACTTAGACCAAAGGCTGGCACTGTGTGGTACCTAGTAACTGATATTACCACGTTTCTCTTTTGTGCCTTCAGAATTTTTCTTTCCATTCTATGCCAGCTCCCACCCCACACACTGTTGCTTATTTAATCTAGTTACAAATTAGAACTGGGGGAGGAATGTTCCAGAAGGGGTCTTGTTGAGCAGCTTTGGCCCTCATTGGCAGGCTGATGTTAGGAAGAGCTGAAATGAACACAGGTAAAGGATCCTGCCTCTCAAGGAGGGGAGACCTGGCTCCTGTAAGCGCTCAAAGCACCTCTGTTGGTTCAAGTGCTGTGGTGCTAAAAGTCTAACAACCTGAAATGAAATCACAAAAACCCGTGCTAGACTTTGTCTGGAACTTCCTCTTCCTTCTATTTCTGTTTCCTGTTGATCCTCCTAATGAGGTCTAGTTCCTTGCCTATCATGGAGATGTGATTTGCTATTCTAGAGCGAAAGGAAGGGGTGTATGGTACTCCCCTGATCATTCAAAGCCTCCTTACTGAAATCACAACTTGAAGGTCATGCAGACCTTCCCCCTCCTGTTGCCAGGACCCATTTTGGGCCCATCTTACCATACAGGCGGTCACGGCCAGGTGGGAAGGACACGTTTCACAGAGCTTGGAGTCAGGGACTAGGTTCCAGGCCTGCCTTGTCTTTGCTCCTGGCTCACTTTGTGGCCTTGGGCAAAATGCTATTCCTCTGATAGGCTTAGTCATGAAACTGATTTGTGTATGTCCTGAGGCACTCAACACAGGGCAGTGATTTCAAAAGTCGAAGATCTTCAGGGCAGGACGGCAGCCCAGGCTCCCAACTTCCTCAGGGCTTCGCAGTGCTTGTGTTACATATTAGATGGACTTCGATAAAGATTCTGTGGGAGGGCTGGGGATTTAGCTCAGTGGTGCTGCACCTGCCTGGCAAGCACAAGGTCCTGAGTTTCATTCCTGGCGCGCGCACACGCGCGCACGCGCGCACACACACACACACACACACACACACAAAGATTCTGTGTGAAAAAAAGTATTTGGTGGCCCAAGAAGAGATTAAAATTTCAATGGCCTTCCTGCTTCTTTAATGGTTCTAGAAGTCCATCATCCCCTCCTAAGCGCTATTTGAAGAGCTGCAGTAGAGGGTACCATTCTGTAGACAGTTTGACAGTGCCACTCTCTGGTCCTTCTGGGCCATGCTCGTTCGTGGGTCTTTAGGTCTTTTCCTTCTGTGGTGTGTTCTGATTAGTCCTCTTCTGCTCTATGAGTTTTGTTAGAATCCTCCGAGGATGGGCCTTGGTGTTTGTTTCTTCTGGGCTGAACCGCACAGTGTTCAAGCTGTGTAAGCCATGACACTGACTGACATTAACCTGGCTATTTGTTATCTTTGCTATTAGTAATCTGTTTCCTCCCCTGAAGCCCATATAGCAAGGTCCAAGGCTATAGCCTGTGGGACTCAACTCAGTTCTTCTCCTTGGCTTGACATTAGATCACAGTTGGCACCAGTGTTCCAAGTTATAAAGTAAGTCAGCAAAGATCTCAGGCATCAGAAATCAGGCTTTCTCTTCCTAACTCTGCCACCAATAAATAGTGGCCATGGTCAAGGCATTGACCTTTTCCAGACATCAGTTTCCCCTTTTACAGAATGGAAAGATTAGACTGGGTGATGTCTTAAGCACTCTTTCAGAACTAACATTCAAAGATTCCTTGTAAAGTACGTACTTTCCTCCTGACAGTGGCAGTTATTTTATTAAAAGAGGAAGAAACCTGGCCCGTCCGTAGATCTCCCCTTTCCCTTTGTTAACACGGGTGCCCTTTTATTATTATTATTATTATTAATTTGGGGACAGTGATTGAAAAGGGTTGGTCGGTAACTTTGGGAGCCTTAATGGGAAGAGCAGCTTTGATGTGTATAATTGACATCATCATGCCTCTCTCCCTGGCCAGTTCTGGCCACATGCCATCCCCCTGGGAAATGGTAGTAGATCAGTTCCTTCTTTCAGAGGGAAATGGGACCCACCCTTAGGTACGTGCTATTTTATATTAACTCTTCTTGCTCCAATTGAAATACAGGGTTCGGAGCATTGGGTTTTTATAGAAAGAGAGTACACTAGGCCAGAAGAACTCAGTTTCCTAACAATGGCCACCACACAGCAGGAAGAAAGTGAGGCAGTCCTTGCTGATATCCTTGCTGACGGCAGACTCTCCAAGGTAGACATTTTGGTGGACAAGTTTAAAGTTGAAGTGGCCACAGAAGAAATGGTGGGAACCAGAAGATCAAACACTCAGCAGAAAGGGAAAATGATCGCAAGTCCAGAAGACTTTGAGTCAGTGTGGAGGGAAGAAGGCCCCTGGGTCGGGGGAGACTCAGGCGAGGCTGCCCAGGCTTTGGGCTGCATGTTGGCAGATAAGCCCCTCAAGGGTTCTGAGCTAAGGATGGGCACCAGTGAGGCACTCATCAGGAACTGCCACCTCTCAGATGGTCCACTGGAAGACCAGGTAGAGCTGAGGAAGGGGCTGCAGCAGCTGCAGGCTTGTGGAAAACCCATACCTCCACAGGCCAGGCCAGCAGAGATGGACATCTCCTCTCCAGGCTCTGACAAAGCAGAGCTCCAGTCATTTCTATTGGATCCAGTCCATGCCGAAGCCAGAGCTGACTCAAGCTATGAGACTGATACCTCGTTTGCAGAGAGGAGCTTCTATCTAAACTACAGAGGGAAAGATTCTGAAGACCAAGCCCTCCATGCATCCATGGACGAGGGAGAGAAGCACCTGGATGCCCCTCCCGGAAGTGAAACTAGGCGGGAATTATCAATGGAGCTCCTAGACAATTTGGAGCTGAATTCCTCAGAACTGATGGGCTCTGCTGCAGTCTTTGGCAGGAACAAGGAAGAAGCCCGCGCATTTTCCTCAGAGGAAGGGCCCAGGGCTCTCGGCAGCCATGGAAGACCAGATGACCTACCAGAACTTTCCCCAGAGCCAGTATTTGCTGAGGACCAGGAAGAAGCACAGTCGGGAGTGCAAGGAAAGTTTACCCACCCAAAAGCCAGTGTATTCAAAGAGGAGGAGGCCTGTAATAGTAGAGATTTAATGGAGAAGGCTGAGAAAAGTCCCGCAACAAGATTAAAGAACCGCTTCCCTAATGGAGTAGGGGGTGTGCACTTGGACGCCCAGGCCCGTGCCCTTCTGTGGACCATCCCTCCTCATGTTAGAAAGCCAGCCAAACCGGACAGAGACAACTTCCTTCTCAAAGAGAGGAGAGCAGATCATACCCAAACCAGAGAACCCAAGACTGGAGACCACAAGGCCCCAGCATTCCTTCACGTGGAGGTGGTCACCCCCTTGCCAACCTCCTCTGATCTCTCGGAGGCTGTGGTTGCTCTGCAGGGCTCTTCTCCAAGCCTGGTCCCTCAGGGGTCAGGGGAACCCTCAGAGCTCAGGGATCCCTTAGGAGATCAGTTTCCTGTGTTTCTCAAATATGCCCATCCTCCTAAAGAGAGCCTGGAGTCCAAGGCCCAAATCAAATTGACTATGTGGCCTAACACAGAGGGTGAGCAAAGAGCACCTCCAGTTGTCAGCAGAAAGCCCAAAGTTATCCCAGGAGAAGTTGAGGGGGTCATACCCCTGGAGTTGGTGTTCCCTTCAGGGAAGCAAAAGGAGACGACCTCTTTCCATGTTGAGGTCCAAGAAGACATTAGCAAGACCTCAGTGGCCAATAAAATCCGGATATTTGAGACCCATGGAATTGAGGTTCGCCGAGCAAGTCAGGGTGAAACAAGGTCCTTTTCAAATGAATCTTCAGAGGCCTCCACAGGACAGATAGAGCAACAGCGGAGCAAGCTTTTAGATCTGGGCTTTATGCAACTCCAGCCCCCAGGGGACTTGGCTGGTCCCAACGCTACAGCTTCCTCGATGATGCCTCTGGCTACCAGACACTTCGGGGAAGGCCTTTCTACCACATCCCACCAGAAAAGATGCCCAGAACTGGCGCTCATGTCCCCTGATTCAGGCTGCAAAACCACGCTGGAGGAAACTGCTGGGGTAACTGGCCACATGAGGCCCTGCTCCCACCGTGCCCTCCACCCATGGGGGCTGACCGCATGCCAAGTAGCTCTTTAGAAGCATGTTTTGGTGGCCCCTCATCATTATTGCAACCTGAGGCTGCTTGTCCATCCCTGTGAGGTCTTTTCCATAAATGGGCCTGAGAATAGACCAGGCTCAAGGATGGGATCATCTGCTTGGCCCATGTTAGCTTGGCCACAAAGACCCTCAGCTTTTGGCGTAACCTGGTGCCCAGAGGGTTGCACAACCCCTGTTGAGAAGGTTCTACCACCAGCAGCAAATTATATACAGTACTTGCTTTGCCTTGCTGTTCCCACCTGCTACACTCCTACCTGTCTTGCTTGGCTTATCCAGTGATCTATTTTCATCCTTTCCCATCCCTAGTCTCCTGCCTTGTGGAAGCTGGCAGTCTAGAGGTTTCCATCCTCCACTCCAGTTTCCTCTCAAGTTTTTTTCTGCCTCCTTAAGACTAACTGTCTTCTCTAATCCAGAACAAATCCGGAGATGCGGTCAGGGAAGAGCAGCACTTCACCAGCTTAGCAGCAAGCGCCCCTGGGAAGGGGGGCCGCCTGAGATTCGCCAGCCCCTCAGGCCCTCAGGTCTCTGCGGTCCCTGTACCCTGATGACCCAGTCATCTTCACCTGACCAGAATGCATCACTCCTTAGATTCCTACCTGCTCTAGCAGCACCCACCTGTGGCTGCTCAACTCTGGCTTGTCTGGAATGTATTCCTCACACCTCTCGACCTTCCAGAAACTGGCTAAATGGAGGCCCGTTTAGCAAGTGAATCTTAAGCACACTGAATCTCCTGAACTGAAGCTGAGTTTAAAAAAAAATATATTGTGTATGTTAGATTGGTCTTTAAAAAAAAGTCATGAACCAGCCAAAAATGTATGTGTACTGTTTAATCCCTGACAGGCCAATTGAGAGGTATGTATGTTGGATAAGAATTGCTGGTTTCCTTTAGGCATTTCCTTGGCCTGCAGTTGTCAATTACACTGATGGGACCAGAGCCTCCTCTCCATGACCTGCCCATGGCACACGCATGGACTGCAAGGTTCCCAGGAAGCTGGTGCCCAGAGGGCCTGGCCCTATACTGTTCCTCCCTCTGGTTGATGCTCACCCCTCCCACGGAGATTCAGTGGAATTGAAAAGCCATGCTGGTTTCCTGTGTGTTCCTTAAGCTCCTGGCTCTAGCCTCTCTGCCTTCTCTCCTGGGTTTCCCTAAGTCCCCAGCTTCCCTCCTTAGTTTGTTTTTTGACATTGCCTGCACGGATGGGCCTGGGGTCTGGGCTTCCATCCCTGCCTTTTTGTGCAGTGCTGCTTCTGATAGGCTCCTGGATCTAACCCTGGACGGAGCCTCCTGTCTAGGACTTCCTGGCAGGGTGTTTGCTTTATACTTGCTTTTGCCATCAGTGTGAAACCTTCAAGAAGGACCATCCTACTCTTAAGAAATTTTCAGATTTTTTTAAAGCTTTGTATGATTTCAAAGAACCTTTTCTGGGGGTGTTTTCTGTTTTCTGACCTGCTCTTCCATTCAGGACATCAACACGGCCCCAAGTTTTCCTCTGACGTTCACCATCTTGATTTCTCTCTCTTTCTCTCTCCCCACCCTGCATCCCCATTCCTGTGATTTTATCTGGCCATAGAGAGCAGGGCTGAGGGAGGGCTCGGAGGAGAAAGTCAAACCACCACGTCCCCGGGCCCCAGAGAGTGACACGGGAGACGAGGACCAAGACCAGGAGAGGGACGCAGTGTTCCTGAAGGACAACCACCTGGCCATTGAACGCAAGTGCTCCAGTATCACAGTGAGCTCCACGTCCAGTCTGGAGGCTGAGGTTGACTTCACGGTTATTGGCGACTACCACGGCAGCGCCTTTGAAGACTTCTCCCGAAGCCTGCCTGAGCTCGACCAGGACAAAAGCGACTCGGAAACCGAGGGCTTGGTGTTCTCTCGGGATCTCAAGGGACCACCCAACCAAGACGATGAGTCTGGGGGCATCGAGGACAGCCCAGAACGAGGGGCTTGCTCCACCCCAGATATGCCCCAGTTTGAGGTACAGTGGAGCTTCATGGAGACCTGGGCCCATGCGAGCACTGCATGCTCAGAGGGCCCTGGGCCACGCGTAAGAAGACTGAGCATCCAGCTGCAGCCTGAAGCTGTCTCGTGTTGCATGACTGCCCTGTGCATAACAGCATGGTTCTGTGCTCGCATGTTTGCCATGTCAGTTTACCCCTAACTCACGCTCCTTGGTGTTTTAACCCCATGACCCCATCGCTTGCTGAGGTCAAGTGATGACAAGCGTTCTGGTCTCTCTCGCTCCTCGGCTTCCCACCTGTGTTGCATGGCACCAGAGAGCATGCGTCTGTGGACTCTCAGGGGTCCTGCAACCTGGTCTGAAACTTGAATGGCTTTTCTCGATCCAGGCCCAAGTTCCTCATCTCCCTGAGCCCTGGGCTTTCTGGGGAGTCCATCAAGTCCTGGGGGGTCAGGGTGGCAGTGGAAACTCTGGAGAAGAGGAAATATAGTCCTTGAGGAGGACACAGGTGACATATGGTGTCTGGGCCTCTCCGCTTTGTGGTTCCCCCTCTACCTCTACATCTAGGGAGGTCATTTTGAATCTCATCTTTGTCCATGATATTCCTTTGCCCTCTCACCTCTGCTAGCCAAGCCTCTCTCCCACATTCCTAGGGAGTGAAATACCAGCTCATCCATTCTGGGCTGTCACTCCATGCTGCACTCCTAGGACAGAAGGTTTGTCCACTCTTTCTGTACCTTGTAAACTTATCTTAATCCGAGGCAAAGATCATGTGTCAGTTTCCTGGACACCATGGGCAGTATCCCCCACCCTGGCCCCATAATGCCTCTGCTGCAGCATTATCCAATGCAGTTAGAGCAATGGCTGCCAGGTCTGCTGTCCTGCCAGGTGGCAGGCAGCTCCACTAAATCTGGCGCATACTCAGTGCTAAGAGATGGTGAACTGAATGAATGGCTTAGACAATAAGGGCTACAACCATCTATAAAAATCCTGCCCTTACTCCCCCAGTAGATGGTAAACTAGGATCCATTTGTCCATTGAACTCATGTATGCAAAGGCCCAAGGTAGACATAGCTGTGAACTAGGCCTGGTGGAAGACTGAGAAGACTGATCATTTAGCTTAAGATTCTCAGAGTAGAGAACCTTCAGCCTCAGGCTAGATCTGGCCAGCAAAAGTGTTTTGTTTTGTTTTGTTTTTTTAACCCTGATTTAAAAATCTTGGCATTGAGTATAAAATCCAGGGCTTTTCATATCGTTAAGGAAAGTCAGACAGTCTAGTTGCTCATAGGCCATGGTTACAGTTGGACATACTTGAGTGGAATCCTGCTTGCTCTCTACAGTCCTCACTAATCCACACCACTTTTTTCCCCCCTCATTACTGGGGATGTTGAACCCAAAGCCTTACGCACTGAGCTACATCACCTTCCCTTTTAAAATTTTTACTTTGAGAAAGGTCTTGCTAAGTTGCTCCATTGCCCAAGCTAGGTGTGAACTTGAAATCCTCCTACTTCAGCCTCCCAGAATGCAGGGATTACAGGCCTATGCCATGCTTTAATATTTCCTCTTGGCCCCTGGAGGCCTCCGTGTGTGTGGCTGTGACTCAACAATAGTTCAAATGAAGCAACTGGGTGGCAGAAGCTGAGCTGTGGAAATCTTTCTGGATACAGTGATATTATATTATATTATATTATATTATATTATATTATGTATTATTCAAGTTAAATCTCAGCGTTCCTGTGATTTATATATCTTGGGTCTGTGATTTCTTCCCTTCTAGGATGTGTATAGACTTGAAAAGACAGGGGAAAATATAGAATAGGAATCAGTGCTGATTTACTTACTGTGATCTCCTTCTCTGCATGCTGAGAAAAGCAGGCATTACTTTCTCTCCATCCCCCACCTGCCAACCGTGTTGAGTAAATTTCCCAGAGGATGAGGAACAGCTGCTTCTCATATTAGGGTCTTCTGACAACTGCCCTTGAAAAGCGCTCTTTCATCAGCTGTGGGATCAGCTGTTTCTTGAGCAGAGGAAGACACTAGAAAACAGAAATTTTAACATCTTTGTCTAAGGATGAGTAGGAAAATTGGAATTATAAATGTCTTTTTAATGATAGTCTAAAAAAAGACCTGCAGACCCCTGGCAGTGGTGCAGTGGCAGGGTAGGGGACAGACTTGCCTGGTGCTGGTGGTGACCCTGGCTCTCCCCTTGAGCTGCTTGTCTGTGACATCACACCTGCCTCTCCTTCCCTAATCTGACGCCCTCCCGGAGACCTGGCCAACTGAGGGGTAGGAGATAATTTGCCAATCCTGCACCATCAGTGTCTCTGAGTAGGAGTCCTGCTCCTGAGTCACAAAGTGTTTCCCTTCATCTCCCTATAGCCTGTGAAAACGGAAACCATGACCGTCAGTAGCCTGGCCATCAGGAAGAAGATTGAGCCAGAGGCCGTTCTGCAGAGCAGAGTCTCCACTGTGGACCACACTCAGGTAGCCTGCGCCTTTGCTATAGCTTGACCACAGGCGTGGAGTATTCGGGGGTGTGGTCCTCACTGCCATGGTCAAGCTTCTCAGCCATCCTCTCCCACTTCAGCTTCCCTGGATGACCCAATTTGATCCCAGTGTTTCTCTGAGTTTCAGTGTCCTTCCTGAGCTCCAGAGGTGGGAGGGTGGGACAGACCACACTACTACTTCTTTTTGTGGGGGAGGGGGAGAAAGGGGTCTTGCCATGTTCCCCAGGCTGACCTTAAACTCGTGATCCTTCCATCTCTGTCTCCCAGGTAGCTGGGATTACAGGCACGTGCCGCAGTACCTGGCTTCCAGACCACCCTTCTTAAAATCTCAACTTCCCCATCCATAAAATGGGAATAATCCTGGCTCCTCTTCCCTGGGAGTGTTGCCAAGAATAGTGGATGAAGACCCTGGTTTTCACATTACTTGAAAGAGCTGAAGAGATTTTTTTCCCAGTGTTGCTTAGGGAGAGAAGAGGGAGAAATCCCAAACTTGATTTAGTCTGAACAGCTCACCTTGGTTCATTTTTTTTTAATGTGTGGACATTCTATATTAGATTGGAACAATGAACAAACTTGTGGGAGTTAGCGGGGGGAGTTGTTTGTGTAGCAAGATGAAGCATGCCTAGCACCCTGGGGAAAGCTGACGTCCACAGACACGGATGCACTCCTTACCGTGCGTTTCCCACTGTTTCCCGTTTCTGTTGGTTTTAAACTTTGAAAATTGAGATTATGAGTCTGAGAGATGCCTTCGTGGTTCTTCCTGGCTGGAAGAACTGCAGCACGGGGTTTTTTCTTGTCCTGGCAACTAGTCTTTATCTTAAGAACAAGAGCTTGGACTATAACTCCAGTGGTAGAGCACTGGCCTAGCAGGTACAAGATCCGAGTTGGATTCTCAGTGAGGGAGGGAAAGGGGGAGGGAGG